TGCGGCAAAACACCTTCTCACCAACCAATCAAGCCCCCGGGGGGGGGTTCCCAACCTCCCCCTTCTCTTTCCGGCGGGGGGGGGCGTGGTGGACCCCCCCCTGGTCGTTTTGGGGGGGGGGGGGGGGGGTTCCCCCCCCCCAACGATTTGTGGAGGACAAAACTGGAGGAACTATCCGAAAGCCAGCCTCTGTAAGAAGACATCGGGGGGTGAAGTCGAGAGAGCACTGGAGCAGTGTCAAGCGTAGTAAAGGTGTGGGAGTGGGGTGCCCCTGCTGATGTTGCTCAAAGGGCGTTGTGAAAATAGAAAAGGGCACCCCAAGTGCGTTGGCGTGCTGTTGCTTTGTCTTGTGTTGCAAATAGACTCATAAAGCCGGTGCGCTGCTAAGAGTGGACCGAGGAAAGGTTGGTGCTGAGATCACGCGAGGACCGGGGGAGAGATTGTCGTTGTTAGCAGTGATGCTACTGCTGTTGGAAATAGAAAGCAGAATACATAGGTTAGGGGAGGCTAAGGAATTCAGGGCGGCTTGCCCGCTGGTTGTTATTCATGTCCTGTAGATGGACTCAAAAACTTGGCGCGCAAGATCAAGTGATTGGGGGTGAAGTTGACATCGCAGCCACCCCGACAGGGGGTAGAAATAGAAAGTAGAATACATAATAGGGTTGGGGGGGTGCCCTTTTGCGTCCTGGTTCGGGCGTTTTGGAGGTGAAAAAGGGCACCCCTAAGGGAGTGAGGGGCGCTGCGCGTTGCCAAACAGTGAGCAAAGATGGCTGTGAGGGGCCCATGGGCGAGGCCATCGGCGGGCTTTCGTGAGGATACATATGTGTATATTATATATTAAATATATATATATATATATTCGGCTGCATCATTTAAGTTTGACTTGGTAAGATCTGAATCAGCTTCGGACGCGATTCCTTTTCGCACAAGCTTGAGAGGTCTGACTCGGTACACCGCACAGGCATCGCTCACGACTGGAGCATTTAGCCAAGCCGACTGCTGCAAAA